GATAGATAGATAGATAGATAGATAGATAGATAGATAGAACCTACTGTGTATAATAAAGAACCACTCCTCCAAAACCCTCCTCCCACTCAGCGATTAACCAGATCAGTCTTCTTCTCGCACATTTCCATGAGAAATGTGGCTACCCCAGCGAAAGGGTAAAGACCCAGGATGAAGCCCCCCCAAAGCAAGCCTAATTTTCTGCCCAGCGGGGGGTGTTGGCAGCAGCAGGGACAGGGAACAAAAAGGAGGAGGGGGAGGAGCAGAAGCTATGGCTTTACTATATGCACCTGCGGCCTGAAAAGCCTGAGGACAATGCGCCTCTGAAACGGTCAATTACGAGCTAGAGAAATGGTGGGGAGTGAAAGGGAGAATGGCAAAGGGGGAAGTGAATTTTAAAAGAGAATTAAGATAAGAAAGTAAATAATCGAGCTTTTAATCACGCTGCCACTAGAAACTTTTGTCTTCCGATTCAAGGCGGCTCACACTTTCCACATTTTGGCCTTCTCTCACCCATTGTTAGAGGCCACTAATGATGAGGTCATGGCAAAACAACAACCAAAAATACCGAAATTCATTTGATGACACGTCGGTATACGAATTTCCACTTAAGCTGATGAGAAGATGTTATCAGACTAGAAGGCCGAGAAAGACAGGAAACATTTAATTAGATCAATCCAAAATCAAATGACCAGGGTGGCTTTTTCGAAATAATAATTTGAGTGTTTGAGTTAGCTAGTATTATTTTATTGAACTTTAAATGCATACAAAGGGTAGACTCAGTATAAGTTGTCACTAATTCGACTTATTGACTTATTGAGTCAACTAAGGCAAGCCCTTCACATCAACATTTGTATGATACGCTTGACTATTCGATTTAATTCCAAATGTATGTCATTGTTTGTTTTGATGGTCGATTCATTCAATCACTTTAAACAATGGCCTAACCTTACTCATTTAGTGAACTTAGGCCAAGCATGGACAAACTAAGGCCCGGGGGCCAGATGCACAGCCCATTCAGCTTCTTAATCCGGCCCGCCAAACTTTTCCAAATTATATAATTTATTTATATAATCATTATATTTCTGCCTTTTCCCTGCAATACCCGTGTTTCCCCAATAGATGGCGGAGAGAAGGCTAAAAGCATTTTACCATTGTAGCCTATATGCATGACTTTTACATGTCCTTTATTTTAGTTCACACGAACGCTCCATCTATCTGCTCCTGAATTTTAGGACCCACACATTTTTGTGTATGTATCGTGTATATGACAGAAAGAGAATATGTTTTAGAAACCTGCAAACCAAAACTCGATCACACACTCTCCCATAAGAATGGTTAGAAAAAAAAATGCATTTTTTTCTTCATTGCTGTTTTGAGTTTTTTGAGGATTTGATTTGAAGGAACGACCTCAAAAAACACAAGTACAACTTAAAAAAAAACACGCGTTATACCAACTCAAGTTTTCAAAATGACATGTAAGCTTCTATTTTATTTTTATTTTTGTACTCCTAACAAATCATCCTGTACAAATGAGCATTTAGCATAGCATCCGTGATGGAGTGATGAGTGTATAGTTTAGTTTTGGGAGTCAAACAATGTGGTCTAGATATACGCTTAATGCCAGGCTATCACTGCTAAGACTTTGTTATAAACTTAACTGGCAAAGAAGCTAGTTTTGATCTTAGAGAAAAAAAGGTTTAAAGACTCAAATAAAAATTAACTCAACCTCAGCAGACTTACTTAACTTATTAAACTACCATGGCAGCGAAGGTTTGGGAAAAAGCTTTGTTTTTTTGTTCATCTAAATTATGTGTCAAACTCAAAGCCCACGGGCCAGATCTGGCCCATCACGTCATTTTATGCGGTCCACCAGAATTTCAAGCGTATGGTTGTCTTAAGGTCTGTATTAGTGTGTACTGGATAGGTTGAATGCAATTTAGCTAATACTGTGTGAAACAAATGTATGGCAGCGAATTCATCAATTTCACTTATCTAGGAAAGTGAACTACTTATTGACGAAATGTGACCTCTGCTTTTAACCCATCACTAAAGTGAACAGCGGGGCAGTATATACAGCTAGCATAAACTACAGTTTTAGATTGAGACATGCATGTTCTATGTTATGTGTAACATTCTTATTTTGCTTGCTATTAATATTTTATGTCTTCATTTGTGGTTAAATCATCAGTATTCGAACATCGTAGAGTGGTTGAGTTTGTCGCCCCTGATCTAAATCTTTCTTAGACAGTGACTCTTCATGGTCTTTCTCCTTCCTCCTACCTTCCACATGCAGTCCAATAAACACATTTTCTTCCCATACTTGTGTAATCACAATCACATTCGGAAAAAAAAAATGGACAAAATAGTGTCACGTGTGCGAGAACATGACAAAGACGACAAGGGCAAAAACTGATTTGTACTATTTATTAATATTGTCATGAATGCCATAACAATTTTTTTAAATCAAGGAATCAAGACTCGGTAAACGAGTCTAAAAAGTATACATTGACATGAATGCCACATGCAGTAACACTACATGGCAAATTGACACACAACAGTTCATTTAAAGTTCAATAAAAATAAAAAATAAAAACAAAAAGTTATGCAAAGTAAGACTTTGTACCTGTCTTTAAGAAGACTGCACTCCCTTTGAAAATAAATCCGTTTCGTTAGTAATACTGTCTAATTTATCAAATATATTCTGCAGTTTGTGTCGTATGAAAGGAAAAGATTCCTTTTAGATCCATAGCAGCACTCTAAAAAAAAAAAAAAAAAAAAAAAAAAAAAGACTGAAAAATGCTGTTGTTTACAATTAAAAACTAGAGCTTTATATATATATATATAAAAAATACCTACCTGTAAGTTTAACTTTCCCTTTTAAAATCATTAAACAAGAAAAACAAAACACATTTATCAGGAATAAGAACTTTGCAATATTTACATAAAAAGAAAAATAATCAAACGTAAAAACTAAGTAAACTCAAAGACTGGAGTGTCATACTGGCTAAAATACTCCGACCAGCTCGACCAAGCTTTCTGGTTTTTAACTCTGACTTGTGTGTATCAAACCATGTTGTGAGAAATAAAGCCCCTGACGTTAAGGATCAACTGCAACCTTAGCTCGTAACGGACGGTACCGCTGTCAATCACAATCGCGCGCATGTTGTGCTTTTAAAAATCGTACCAAAAGTTCTAGAATCGAGCCCTCCCAATTATGTTCTATTTGCAACCGACCAGAAGCGACCCATGTCCAACACAAGTTGCTGTCGGGGGGGACAGGGAAAGGCATCGAACAGAAGGTGTTAGGCTCTCAAGTGCTGATTGTCCAAAATCGGATCCACGTCACCTGATAGGGTTCCATCAGTTTACAGAGGCGAAAAATGTGACAGCCGTAGCACACGATTTCCTACTCCTCCATCTCCCACCGTCCCCCTCCCCCCCAACCCCACCCCCACTACCTATTCTACCACTCTCCTCAAACAAGCAGTTCTCTTGCCCCTCTACAGGAACAAGTGCCAGTGTCGCATGTTTAAGTCCTAATAGTGGCCTAGAAAAATATAAAAAAGACGAAACACTCTGGAATATGTACACAAACAGGTGCGAGCCCCTCCCCCCCCCCCATCTCCAATGCGGGGGTGGGGGGGTGCTTTTAGGTGGGTAAGAGGGTGCGGTCTCAGCTCTGTGGAAGGCGTGGCTTGTATCGGAGTCTAAATGGCAACAGGGTTTTGGTGTGCGGCTGCAGACTTGTTGTCGCTCTCATTCGGACTCCTGTGCGCCAATACGTGTAAGCATGCCCGCTGTTATGGCGTAGCCCCTCTGTGCTGCGTTCGGATCCCCGGCATCCCCTCCTGGTCCAGGGATGTACATGCTGATCATGTCCCTGAGGTCGCCTTGCAGTGACCCTCGGTGGTGGTTGGAGGCCCCGGTGGGAGATGGGTGGGATGCAGGCTCCGTCTTCACCATGGACATGGTAACAGGGCTGGGCTGCTGAGGACTGCTGCTGTAGGACATTGGACTATGGAAGAAAAAAAAACACATAGGTTAAACACATTTATAATTTAACTGTATTTATTTTTAAAGAATGTTTACACCATGTTTCACCAAGATAAGAGCTGAAAAGCCACAAATCAGAACCACTGAATTTTAGGCATTTTGATGGGCCTCCGAAACCCATGGATTCTGCTACAAATTATATAAAGGAACATCAGCTATTTGAATGTATTTTCTTACTTTTATTTACTATTCAAGAACTAGTTTTTTTTTTTTTTCTTACTTTTATTTACTATTCAATAACTATTTTTTTTCCCCGCATAAGAACACTTTGCGCTAGCTAGATACACGCTAGCTCAAGGAGCAGAGCAACTTGACAACATGCAAATCACCAGGTCTACACAGATTATGACTCGGCCATGGTAAGGGTGCAAGCTGTCACACGAGGTGCATTCAGGTACCATGAAAAAAAAAATACCATGGAAAATTGAGCTGACGACTACAACAGTGTACTTGATGGTATGGTTCAGGACAAATGGTTATTAAAAAAAAAAAAAAAAAAAAAAAATTGTTTTTCCCCCTCATCTTTTCTTGAGAATTCTCAGGATTCTTTTTTTTTTTTTCTGTTATCTTTCGGGTGATCACGGCATCCTCCCAATGCAACATCTAACCCTGTAAAAGCGACTTGTAAAGCTTGAGAAGAAACAAGGCTGAGGGTGTTAGCAGGATTAGCTTGTTGTGGCCTCAGAGAAAACCAACTCTCAAAATGAAATCTCCCTCCTTGGGGCGTATTTCTTACATCACCAGTTGAATCATTAAGCACCAAAAAGTTTTTGACCCAGTTTGCAGGCTTATATTAACAGTAAAACCAACACAAGAGTATTTTAGCCACCTACAGGTCAGCAAAGGAGCACTACATGCTAACCATGATGAACACAAAAGACCACGTTTGAACAAAAACAAATGCTTCACCAGTAAAGTGTCAACTCTAAGACTGTTATGGTTCCCAACCCTGTTTTGTACATGGATTTACTAAAAGTTAGTCGGTATGTTTGCAATTGATATTTTTTTGCATTTTAGCATTTCAAATGTACCAGTGCCATTACTGGTTAAAAAGGAGTGGTAAGTCAAAAAGATTTTTAAAAAAATATTATGGTCTGTTTTATGGTCAGCATTATGATTTTAAATGTATTCAAAAATGCACTAAAAAAAAAAAAAAAAAAAAAAAAAAAAAAGGTAATTCAGCCTAAGGGTTTTAGAGCTGATAAATAACATTTTGGACTAAACTCTCCATCCAACATCGTCCATTTCTTTTATCCCAAGTTCAAGTTAAATCTCTACCTTCTCCCAGTGAAAAGAAACCTACAGCAGGGGATGATGTCGGGACAATGGGTTGCAGAAGCAGAGAATTGTGGGTACGGAGGACCACACACAGTGCCCTGTTAGCTCTACAATCATGTCATGCTACTCAACATTCCAGGCAGGACCCAGCCCAGAACAAAACAGTGTCACATGCATAACAAGTAGCCAGCGTACTGAAGCTACTTGTGTGACTCAAAAAAAATAAAGTGAATGCAGTTTTGCGGCGATTTTGTTTTTTTTTCCCCCCCTGTAGAAAATGTTAATATTTGTAAAATAAAAGCTGCGAGTCCTTTGTTACTTTGAAGCTTTTGTTCTAGAAAAAGACAAAAGTTGAAAATATGCTAATTGAAAAATAGACTATGGCATATAGTTGTTAGTGATTTATTTTCTTTTTTTTTATTTTTTTTTCAAATAGCCTTTGCTACAGAGGCTACTAAGTTTTATCACCATGTCTGTGAATTAGCCCACACAATATTTTCGTAACGTATTTTCTAAAACTTTTTTTAAATGGGAAAGTTAAAGGGAATTCAACCACAACATGTAACCACAGGATTTTACCAATACCCAATGTCTGTAATGCTTGTGTGGTCCTATAAATCTGTTTAAAAAAAAAATCAGAATTTTTTTTAAAAAAATGGTCAAACAAAATCCTCCTGTGACCCACCTGAATTTATCCCTGAAATTAATATAAATTATAAAATATAATTTTTTTTTTAATCACAAGAAGATGCTTCACATTGTAAATTACACGAGAAGGTTTGTGATGTGTGGGTCACATTTAAACTACATATTCTATAGTGCATTAGGAACCCACCAGAAAAGTTTGAGCACAATTTTATCATTTCTTACAAGTGGCATCGGAGTACTGAAAAAAAAATACAATTTAAAAAAAAAAAAGAAAGAAAGGAAATTGTTTGTCCTAAACTAGTGTTCTAGGATTAAGTCAGAAAAAAAACAAAAACATGTTGTTAGAAGTGGCTGTTTTTATAAAAAAAAATTAGACACTCGTTTCAAATTGTGACATTTCCCAGTTTTAAGAATTTACGGTCTGTTTTTTTATATATATACATTTCCGTCACAAGTAGACAAAATTGGAGATATAGAAAAGTAGAAACTCTTAACTATTGTTCGCCATATACGGTTGCAATATAGAAAAGTAGAAACTCTTAACTATTACTATGGTTCGCCATATATGGTTGCAGGCTAAATTATCCAGTCGGAATCCAGTCGGGTGTTACGAGCTACCTCTCCC